GAGGTGGAACAAATAAGGGAAACCAGACAACAAGATGATGAAGTTGAACCTGAAGATACCCACCACTCCACTGGAGAGCCACAAGCTGCCACAGAGGAAAGCCTTACATAGCACACTCAAGAACCTCCAAAAAACGTGTCAGAATATATGCTGGCTCGAGACAGGGAGAGGAGAACAATAAGACCACTAAAGAGATATGATGGTGGAAACTTAATTGCTTATACACTGAATATGGCTGGAGAAATATGAGCAACATAACCCAAATCATATGAGGAAGCAGTCAACAGCAAACATGCCAACAAATGGTCAGTAGCCATGGAAGAGAAGATGCTTTCCTTGATGAAAAATAATACATGGGTTCTAGTGGACAAGCCAAAGAAACAAAAGGCAGTGGATTGCAAATGGATTTTTAAAATTAAGGAAGGAACCACATCTCAAGAACCCAGGAGGTACAAGGCACGGTTGGTTGCAAAAGGCTTCACTCAAGTTGAGGGGATTGATTACATTCAAGTATTCTCTCCAGTTGTAAAATATAAGACCATAAGGACAATCCTCTCAGCAGTTGCACACAAAGATATGCATCTAGAGCAGATGGACGTAAAGACTGCTTTCTTACATGGCGACCTCATGGAGACAATCTACATGAATCAACCACCGGGTTTTGAGGTAAAAGGTAGTAAACATAAAGTCTATTTGTTGAGAAAATTGTTGTACGGGCTGAAACAATCCCCTAGACAATGGTACAAGCGATTTGATCAACATATGATTAAAGTAGGCTTTATTAGGAGTCAATATGATTCCTGCTTATATTTTAAGGAAACAAATACTGACAATATAGTATATCTTCTACTTTATGTAGATGATATGCTGATTTCCAGTAATAACTTAGCAAAAATTGAAGAGGTCAAGAAAATGCTAAGTGCTGAATTTGATATGAAGGATTTAGGTTATGCAAAGAGAATTTTAGGAATTGATATTAAAAGAGACTGAAAACATAAACTTCTGTATCTGTCTCAGGCAGAGTATTTAAGAAAAGTTGTCCAAAAATTCTCTATGCATCAATCTAAACCTGTTAAAGTACCCTTGGCTGGTCATTTTATACTTTCTGCAAAACAGTCTCCAGAAACAGAAGAAGAAAAGCTTAAAATGGCCAAGATTCCCTATTCTAGTGCTATAGGGTCATTAATGTATGCCATGATTTGTACAAGACCTGATTTAGCTTATACAGTAAGTGTTTTGTGCAAATACATGTCTAATCCTGGACAAGAACATCACTAAAATGGGTTTTGAAGTATGTCAACAGTACATTGAATTATGGTTTGATTTATAAACAAAGTTCTAACTTTTTGAACTTGGAAGGCTTTGTAGATTCTGATTTTGCAGGGGATCTGGACAGAAGAAAGTCTACTTCAGCTTATGTAATAACACTGGGAGGAAACTGCATTAGCTGGAAATCTCAACTACAATCTGTAGTTGCCTTATCAAGCATCAAAGCAGAGTATATAGCTGGAGCAGAAGGATTTAAAGAAGCTATATGGCTTCAGGGTCTGTTAAAGGCGCTGAAATTATTGAAAGGAGTTGCTGTGATTCATTCAGACAGTCAATCAGCAATATATCTCTACAAGAATCCAGTGTATCATGAAAAAACAAAGCACATTGATGTACAACACCACTTCATAAGGGAAAAGGTTGAAGAATGATCAATAGAGCTTGAGAAGATCAGCACAGAAGAAAATCCATCAGATATGGCTACTAAGGTTGTCACTGCAAGCAAGTTCCAGAAGTGTCTGGACCTGTTGAGCATTGGCAAGACTTGATTATATCAATTCAGGACAATGAACTTTGCGAGAAGCTCAGGGTTAAATGATACTGCCGTTTTTCCAGAAATTAAGGTGGAATGTTGTGAGGAGTAATTCCTAAAAAATGACAATCGTTTGGTCATTCAGGAACTTACCAAAACGTGGTGTAGCATTTAGAAGGACCTCTCATACTGTGACACGTAGAGAGACAATAGTTCGTGGAGAGAATTCTAGAATATCTTCAGACCTCCTATTCTTCACACGGGACATTCAAGATTGAGATTATTCTTTTAGGGTTACTCAGAGTATGAGGGCTAGAGAGAGAAAGAGGCAAGGAGAGTACTCTTGTATATTGTACTGTGAGAGAAACACGTTTCTGCAAATTGAGAGATCTGAGAAATAGTGTTTGGGAGTTGAGAAAATATGGGTAAAGGGGTTTCTTTGCTCACTAGGTATTTTCTCTGGATAGCACTAGTTTGAGATTTCTCTAGGTGTTTCTGGGTCTCTTTTGCTTCTTGTAATATCTGAGTGATTCATACGTGAGGGTGTAATCGGTTCTCAATAGTGAGCCCAACAGGGATGTAGGATTCGTTGAATCCAAACCTCGGTAAAATCTTTCTGTGTTCTTTTTTTAAAGCATTTTTGTGTGAATCTTTGAGCGAGTCTTACGATCTTTCTAAAAACAACTTTAAAATTAATTTATGTATAATGATTATATCTCTAATAATAAAACATTAATGTATAAATATATAGTTTAAAAATAAATCCACACTATGCGACTTCACCTTAAGGTCCAGGGTTTAAATTCCAAATCAAGTTCAAAACAATAATAACGATAGTAATGGAATTTATTTATTTATTTATTTTTGTGGGTTGAAAGGTCCAGCTAAGTTAGGCTAATTGGACATGAATGGTATTGTCAACGGGAACCTTTTAGCTGTAAGGGGCGTACCGTTGTACTCGGAAGGGAAAGCAGTCGGTTCTTGTGGATGCTTTGCAAACGTGGTCGATGGTCCCATCGATGTCTTAGATCGTCTTTGACACTGACCTTTGGTGGTTGCATGCTGTCTTCTATAGTTCTATTTCAACCATGCTTTTTTTTTTTCTTTTTTTTTTTTTAGGTATTTCGTTCATGCCTTTGGGTGCACCCAAAGCATATTTTCTTTTATTTATATTATGTGATCTTTTATTTATAGAGAATTTCTCGGTTGTTTCTTGTATTTTTAAAAATATCGGTGTTCTTTACTTAACAATTGTTAGATTTGTATTAATTTTTAACTAGATTTAATATAAATCTGACGGTTGATAAATAAAAAACATCAACATTTAAAAAAAAGAGAAAAACCATAAAAATTCCTTATTTTTATTATGTGAGTCACTGCATAGATAACAATACATCCCCAATTTGTTGTGCCCACTTTCCAACAATAACTCCAGCCTTTAAGACAGCTCATATTTTCTACGTGAGAATATCATGATGATTTTCACGTGTTTCTTTTTTTTGTTTTTTTTTGTTTTTTTTTTGTTTTTCCCATTTTCTTTGTTAATGACTTTATGCGAAGTTGGGTAAATTGCTTTCTACAAAATATGATGTCGTTTGCAGCGCCGGAAGATTTGTTGTTCTTTAAAAACAACTCTTGAGGTGTCAATTAATTTATTTTAGATTAATATTTGGCGTTATCACAGCTTTCATCCACTTGTGTGTCTAGTTGTGTTGTTATTATTGTTATTATTATTCTACAGCGCTAGGTTGTTGAGGTTATTATTTGACTAACTTGTTTGCTTCGAAGCTTAGCAACCTACTTATTCATTTTTATTTATTTTCAATGAAAACAAGAAGCAAATTAATAATTAATATTAACGAAAAAGTAAGGGCACAGAATCTATGCCCTCGCAAAAAGCCACGCCTTTTTTTATCCACAACACTAAAAAGGCGGAAACAAATAGATCCGACCATATTTTATTTCTCTTAATGATGTTTCCCACGAGTTTACTTCATTTTATTGTATTAAATAATTTCGGTTGATTTAATAAAAGTTGGGCTATCCATGGAAAATGTTACAGTGCCGTGTGGCATTACATACTCCATGCATGTGACAAAGCCCTCGAAGACCCATCAGAAATAAAATTAAAAAAAAAAAAAAGATAAGATGACCATGAGTTTTCCAAGACACGACAATTTTCATTAGGTTGGCCAGCAAAAATACTACAAAATTTGTGTCAATTGAATAAATGTCATTTTTTTTTTCTTGCAAAACGAAGTATCAATTTGGAAATATTCTAAATTCATTACTCCTGCCTTATAAATTCCCCCTTCTTTCTTTCTAATGCCTTTAGTTACCCGTTAATTATAGCTTAACATGTCCCACAATTACATGCCGTAGTACATCAAATTTCTTTCTTCGTGCAAAAATTGCTATAATATGATACGAGTTATAGATTTCCTTTACACTTCCAACTAATTATTTGCATTCAATTATATGTTTTTTTTTATTGAAAAACTTTTTTACTCAATCAAAATGTTTTTTTTTATTGAGTACTCAAAATGATTGAATACCTATAATTAAGTCTGAACCATTCCTTTTTCTCTTGAAAAACAAATATTCTCTTGATTTATAAATGGATTTACTCATGACAGGATTTCGCACCATGATTTACAATTCACGGTCTTTCCAAAAACAATCCATTACTTTTTAAAAAAAAAAATCGATTAATCAATACATGAAGTTAATTAATTTTTTTTTTCACTTTGTGAAATTTTTTTTATGAGTATTAAGAGATGATCAGACAGATTGGACCGCGAGATTCGAACTTCTGCTGAAACGGAGAGACAAGTATGCTGAAACAAAGGCGAAAAGACAAAGGACACCCCTTCACTATCTGGCACTGGCAGGGCCCGATAATTGAAAAGATCAAATTAGACTCCGAGCATACCACACGCAAGCATTTCTCCTAAAAAAAAAAATTTAAGAGACATGATTATAATCATCATTAGAATTATTTTTAATTTAAATATATTTTTTATAAAAAAAATAATATAAAAAATTATGAATTATAATTTAAATCATCTCTCAATTAAATAACTTATTACTCACCATAAAAAAAAAAAGAATTCAAGCAAAATCTTTTTTTTAATTAATTAATTTTTACATTATAATAATAGCGAAAAGGCAAAGAAAGAGAGATTCGGTAGATCCGAGGAAGAAAAGGAAAGAAAGAAAGAAAGAGCGTGGGTTTGGTTTGGTTTGGTTTGGGGTGTGGTTGTGGAAGGAAGGGAGGAAGCAAACGTGGGTTGTTTGTGGCTGCACCAGTGGGCTCAGCCTCAGGTGCCCATTGCCAATGCCAATGTCAATGGCGGTTTCTTTTTGCTTCTTCTTCTTCTAGATCAATGGAGTCTCTAGGGTTTCTCTTTTCTTTCTCTTTCTCTTTCCTCCCATTTATAACGGAACTCATGGTCGCCATTTTTTCCTAGTTTTAATATCTTGCCCTTGGTCGCCACACTTTCCTTTCTTTTCCTTTTTCCACCATTTTCCTCATTTTTCTCTTTCTTACAGCTTTTTTGCTTCGTTCGAGACATTGGTCGTGGCCTTCAAAAGATTCCTCCCTATATTCCTTATTTTCGCCTCACGATTTCTTCGAAGCTCTCTCTCTCGGAGGTGGTGTTTTTGTTCAGAAATCCCACGCATTTGCCTCCTCACTCGGTACATGAATCTCTCTAAATCTCTCTTTTTGAGGTTTTTTTTTTGGGGTGCGATCTGAGATTTTCTGATTCGTGAGAAGGCGTTGGAATGTGAAATTTTTGTTTCTGCGGATCGGAATATCGGATCTCCAGTTCTTCAATTTTCCAGAGGTTTTGCGATCTGGAACGCATTGTTTTGCCTTCCTCTAATTTCATGTCTATTTCGGTGTTCTTCCGAATATCACTTGAGAAAAAAAAACTTTTTTTTTTTTTTTTTGGTATTCTTCATATGTTTGTTTTGCATTTGTTTCGCATTAGGTGTGCATTGTTCGTACTAGAAGATATTCAGTTGGCTTAAAGTAAAGATATTTCTTTTTCGTTGCTGATTTCATAAAGTTTCGAAATTTTTTTGGCAGATTGCGATGACTTGGGGACAATAAGGTTTTTTGAATCCAACACTTGGAATCAACTATCCCTGATCCACCAGGTAAATTGAAAAATCGAACTCATTTCTTCACCATTCCCGTCGATTAAATATGCTTCAATTGTTTCTAATTACTAGATCTAAGATTCAACCTCATGACAAATTCAGTTGAGTTTGTAGTAATCAACAATTTTGCTTTCCAATTATTTCTGTTTTGTAGTGAAACGAAAGAAACTGTTTTAGTTAATTTGGTAAAGATGCCATTCAAAAGCATAGTTAGGGAGATGAGGGAAGGCATTGGGAGCATATCGAGAAGAGGGGTATTGCCAAAGCACGGCAGTCATCGCAGGACTAAATCCCATATTGCACCTGAAGCTTCGTCTTCGTCGGGGGCGCCGCGGCCTTCGCCGTCTTGGCCGGCTTCTTCCACGCTGTTTCAGCAGAGCCGGTGGGCGAACTTGCCGCCGGAGTTGCTCATCGACATAATCCAACGCGTGGAAGCGAGTGAGACCTCGTGGCCTGCTCGGAGGGATGTGGTTGCTTGTGCCTCTGTTTGCAGGTCTTGGAGGGAAATCACAAAGGAGGTCGTCAAGACTCCTGAGCAATGTGGCTGGCTTACCTTCCCTATCTCACTGAAGCAGGTGATTTATTTTTTATTTTTTATTTTTAAATGCATTCTTAGTTTTTTCTTTTTCTTTTTTAAATTACTAATTTCCAACCCATAAATTGATATATTTTTTTTATAATAACAAATTTAATAGCCCGGGCCAAGAGATGCTCCGATTCAGTGCTTTATTAAGAGGGAAAGA